AAGAATTCAAAAAAAAAAAATAAAAAAAAAAATCAAAACATTAGGAAAAATATGAGACCGTGACACCAATAAAATGAAGCATTAATACAATGACGAACAAGCATCGAATGCATCAATGCAGTTGTAGCTGTTGCTTAGCCTCTTTCATCATTCGACCGACCTCTTCATCCTCCGGATTTTCCCTCATCAACACCTCGCAATCTTGTAAGCAAGCCCTCCACTTCTCCATCTTACGCCCCCACATGAAACAACAACGCTAACTTAATCACCATAAAAACTACGTATGTACGCTAAAGAAAAATTAATATATAGACTAGTAATCACCTTGGCATTGCAATCGGCACGTCTTAATCTTGCTTTTGTGTAGGACGGTCGAACATTTAAGGCTGCGTTGCAGTCCTCGACTGCCTTTTCGTACTGGCTGAGTTTGGAGCGGCAAGCAGCTCGGTTACACAATAGAATCGCATTGTATTGGTCGTGGTTTAGACCTTCACCGTACGCATTGCATGCTTCTTGGAATCTCGATGCCTTGAAGAGGTCGTTACCGTTGGCCCTGGCAGTGGCAACGGCCTTCGTTTTGTTTAGGACTGCATTTGCTTCTCGGTTGTTGGGATCCAGTCGTGATGCACGTTGTACTACTGTCACAGCATCATCAAACCTGGTGTTTAATTCAGAAAGTCAGAAAGGAAATTCTTCTGTATTTTTTTTTATATGGTGTTAAGAGAGAAATGATTGTAACATTAATTGTTCGTACTACCAATTAGTTGTAGGAGGAGTAGACTTACAAGTTAGGTCTATTTTCTTGTATAAACGATGTAGGACAACTCACAAGTGTATTATATTCTAATAATTACTCATAAACACAATTGATATTTCTGCGTTTTTAAGCTTTCTAACCAATTATCGACGTTTTCCAGGCGGACATTTCTGTTTTATGGGAACTAAAAGTGATAAGAGCTACATGGAAAAATAAGAGATGAAAACTCTAACCTCCCTTCAATCATATCTAGTTGAGCATGAATGACTAAGAGTGATGCACTCCCAATAGGACCAAAGAATTTCATGCATTCGTCAATATCGAAATTCGGACCGTTGGCAATAGCATCGATTGCGTCTTGGTGTCTGTTGAGCTTCAGCAAGGCCTCAGCTTTCAAAGCTATTATCTTCAGCAAATAATGTACAAAATAAAAAATAAATTCAATTCAGGAATTATCAATATAAAGGAAAAAAAGATGTCAAACATATGGTGAGTAACTCACCAACGGCGCAGAATCAGCACCAGCTGCAATCGAAAAGTCAGTTTCCTTTAAAAGTACATTCCAATCTCGACGACTTTTTGCCTCAGTACACTTGTGTAAATGGAATTGAACCTTTTTAGCCATGTTCATAGCATCCGGATCCGCATCCGATCCCGCTTGTTTGAAATGGTACATGGCCTTTTCGGGTTCCCCCAATCTATCAACAACATTAAATAATTAAGGTCTCGTTTACTTGAAGGGATGAGATAAGTTGGGATAAGATTGTTTAATCTCATGAGTCAGCTTTTGTCCCATGAGTCTGCTTTACTGAATCTATATTATTGGGACATTCAAGGGTATAATGAACATTATACATGTGATTTTTTTGGACAAAAAAATCATTTTTGTGCTCAAGATGTGATATAATTATCCTGCGTACAGGCGTGTGCCTACGTGCCACATACACGACACATAGAATTTATCCCAATCCCGATCTCTGCTAATAAACACTGGATAAGGTTGGTTAAGGAATGTTATTCCATCCTATCCTGGTAAGTAAAAGAGGCTTAAGAAAAGAATATTTTGTTTACTTGGAGATATTTGTCGTTAATTACCTGACGTAAAGAGTCGCCAATCTATTATGAGCACGATGATAAAAAGGGTCGATCCGGATAGCCTCCCGGCATTCAAAAGCCGCCTCGAGAAGCTGCCCCAAGGCAGTCAATGCCGCGCTTTTATTGCTTCGGTAAGAGGCCTTGTTTGGATCAATCGAAATAGCCGCATCATAGAGAGCCACGGCCTCGGCAAACCTCCCATTCTTATAATCCTCGTTGCCCAAAATCTTGAGTTGCTCCGGGTCCATTCGGGTCGATATGGCCCGGCAAAGAGAAACGGGCTTTTCGGGCCCTGATTCCCTTTTGTTGCCTCCGGAGGAATATTTCCCGGTCACCTGCCCGTGCACCTCCTTTGTGTAGGTGTCCGAAGTCCCGGGCCCTCTCAAGTTGCCGAGATTGCTGAACAACATGACATTGCCAGACGAGGCTCGGACCAAATTCCCGGCACCTTTCGACTTCTGGTGATCGGCGATCATGCCGTCGAGCTCACCGGAAAGCCCGAGGGCGGTCTGGGGGAGCTTTCGGGCCTGGACGTGCCCCATTTCGTTTTTGGGCTGGGTTTGGTGGTATGGGTTTGGGCCCTGATGCTGGTTGTAATAGACAGGGGGAGATTTGGAGTGGTTTGGGCCGGGCCGGGCTATTATGCGGTCTCCTTGTTTTTGATCTTGCTCGTCCGTTTGGGTTTTGTGGGCCGACGGGGTCGGATTTCGGGCCGAACTGTCCGGTTTTCGAGGCCATAGACCTCTGCCACCGAAAACAGCGCTTAACAGGCCACAACCGGATTTCTTTTCAGGAGAAATTTCTGCCATAACAGAATTGTGATCGGGTGACACTTTCTCTGTTATGGATTAATTTTTCCAGGAGAATATTGCTAAATTCGATTGAGAAACATAAATGTAATATACAACAGAAGATAGATATTTCCTGAAGAAGGAAAAAAAAGGAAAACAACGTGTATGTATAATGTGAAGAACCTTGAAAGGTTCTGTTAGGAGAAATTGTAAAATTTCATTTTGGTTGTAATGCTTTTGAATTAATGGGCCTGTGGATTGTAAGATCCGGCCAATCAAATATGGCTTAAGATCCGGCCAATCAAATGTGTAAGCCACAAAACTCTGTTTGAGCAATATCTGAAAATTTCTGTTTTGAAGAAAAATGGGAGCAATATTTTTTATGTTCAATTGTTTTGGATGTAATCCGTATGGAGTTTCATCAAACTTGTTTTTTCTTTTTTTCTTTTTTTTTTATTAGTTTGATTATTTTTCAAACAAAAGTTTATGGATGATTGTATTATCTAGCCTCTTGGAACATCCGAGGAATTCGGAGCAAGTTAGGAGTAGAAATTATTTTTGTTTGTTGTTTGTGTGGAGGAAAGTAGTATTCGGACAAAAATGGGTCGTATGAGAAAGCTGGCCCCAAAACTTTTGACATGTAGTATATACAAATGACATTATTTCTCAGGGTCTACTTTTGGGGGATATTAATAGGTCATTGTTTATTTCTATGAGGTAATACATACATACATATATATCTCATGACGAACTTCTTTTACACTTCAATATATATTATATTTTTTTAACACACTATCTCTTCAAACAAATTCGTTTTTATCCTACAAGACACGGAATGTTATATGATATAACAATCGCATATCTAAAATAATTAATAATTATGCGAGATTTTGTTACATATATACCAAGACATATCCAAATCGGACACATAGGTAATAATATGCGAAATATTTTGACATATTTTGATGTCGCATATTCAAATCGCATAGTTTATGATTCGCATATCTAAATCTATAGCGTAATATGATCGCATATTCACGAATCGCATATTCAAATCGAAAGGCGCATACTTCAGAACTATCCGTCATTTCGCCGATCCATATCACAAATCGCATATCCGTCGAAAATATTTTGTATATTATTTACATAATATACGCTCGCTATGATTGTCTAATTTTTCATGTAAAAAATTAGACAAATGGCATGTACTTATATTAGTCGAGTTGATGTATATCTACAACCATTATTACCACTAATGAATTGTAAGATTTAAATGTTATATCTGTAATTAACTTCTCTAAACAGAAAAAAAAAGCAAGATAAAATCCTTATCTTTCGATCGCAGAAAAAAATGAAAAAAAAAATACGCACATTTGCAAAAAAAAAAAAAAAATAGATAGAACTTCACGCAATAAAAACTAAGAAGATTGCGAACCACTTCCGTGGTGAAGTGGACCAAGGGTGAGGAAGATGCTTGCTTCCGAGTATTTTTCAAGAAGTGCCGTGATATGACAGACATACATCGAAATCCTGTATTCACTTCCTGGTTTCCCGAAATCGCATGTATATTGAAACAAGTGATGGGTTATCATTCCATAAAGGAGTATTCTCTTGTCGAAGTCTGGGAAAAATTCACCGGCTAAGAAATTATTTCGATGAATTTTTTTATAAAAAGCAAGATTGATTTAAATTTACAAATAGATTTACCATAAAATAATAATTATTTTTCATAACAAATAGTAATAATTACTTTTTATGCTTTTGTTGTATTTATTTGGAATGTTGAGAGAAACAAAATGAGATAAATGAATAATATTTGTGTAAAAATTGTTTTAATGATATATATTTGTTCAATAAATAGAAATATTTTTTCTAAGCATATGAAAACCATATTCTATATATATTAACCATATATTAGGTGGTATATTTTCCGATAGAATAAAATATATCCTATAATGCAAGACGTACGGTTTTAAAACTAAACAATGGTCGCACTCCAACAACAACCCCAAATTCCAAAACAGAATAGATAACATATCAGCACAAAGCAGAAGAGATATCAATATCCCTCGGCGCCTTCCTCTGGGCCGCCGCCACCTTCCTCGTCGCCATCTCCTCCACCTTCGCCGAGGTTTATGCCCAATTTAACATTTCCCTTTTCAGTTTTGAAATTTCAGGTGAAGAAGGGTAGTTTTGGAAATCAATTAATTAAGTACACACCTTTGCGAGAATTATCAATTGTGTAGCTTGAGTTGATTTTTGTTTTTCATTCGTCTTTGATCAATTTTTTTTTTTTTTTTAATGTTTTTTCTTTTTGTCTTCCCTGCCCAGGTTTCATAGTAAAAATCCCAGCATAGTGGTCGGGGTTCTATAATTTTTTATTTTTTATTTCTTTTCCCTGCTTAGACTTGACTAAAGAGTCGTAAGTGTCAGTTGTACTCAATTATTTCTTACTGTTATATAATATATTCTCTTAGTTAATGTTTTTTTCTTCTCTCCTTTTCCCCNCCTTTAAAAAAAAAAAAATAATAAATAAATAAATTATTTTCCCCTCATCCTCCAGGTGGCAATTTCGCGTGGGCTCCACCTCACATCCAGCTTTGGGTCTGTCTTCGGTGGCCTGGTAATACTATCAATCTTGTTCTTAGAGCTTCATAAATAGTCAAATTTTAGTAATGGAAATGAAATGTTCATGTGTTAGATGTTAGTTTTGGACAGTCTTGTCGAATTACAGTAATTTTGGAATCTGATGCGTCGCCTGAGGGGGACATGAGTGTCGACTGCCATAAAAGCGACGAGCAAAGGCTACTGTCCATGTGAAGTTTTAGCTCTACTTGTAAATATTGCTTTCCTCGTTCGATTTGTTCCCCTATATTGGAATTCATGGGCTCGCGTATAATAAATGGGATTTATATTTCCATTTTTATGTTCTTAAGTACTATAGTTGTTAAACTTAAAGCCACACGATTAAGTAAACCCCAGACTGTGTGTTGTAGCTTCACCCTTAGTTGTCCGACACAGAACACTCTCCTACTAAACCGTCAACTTCAATGATAAAAATCTTTTATTTGATTGAAATTTGGAGAAGTGTGATATACCATTGGAAATTCAAAGGAGTCTAGTTTCCAACAAAAAGAAATGACAGTAAAAAAATATTAAGTATGGAGAGACGTATGATAGTTTGATCCAAGTAATTGTGGGAATTTGGAGAGTTTATCAAACTTTTGGTTTCTTTTGCATCAAAATTCATTGTTTCATGCAAATAATCAGCCCTTAGACATTTTTCATTTAATTTATGCTTACTTTATTCCTTTCTATCTTTAAATATTATATTACCTATAAAAGGTCCCATTGTATTAAGAAGAAAGAACAATGAACATAATTTGAAAATATTTTATATCTTGAGCTTTAAGCTTGTTTTGAGAAGTTTATCTTCATATTTACTACTCAAAACTCTTGGTGGATTCCTAGAGTGGGTGAGTGTTGAGAGTGCCTTGTGTTACCTCCTATTTCTCTTGTTTTTCTAGTGTCAATTTGGTATTAAAACCAAGTTCGTGATGCCGCCTCATCGACGAACTGAAAATCCAAGGGGTGAGCGAGATCTACATGACCTCGAATTGGATGATTTAAGGAGAAAAGATCAGCAACTCGAGCAACGTCTTGCATGTTTAGAGCTTTTGAATCGTGATGTTGAGGTTTCCCCTCTCCCCAAAAAGCGAAAAAATCTCTAAATCTCATCCCTCGAACCCTAGCCTTCCACCTTCGTAGGTGTGCCTCCCCTCCGGCGGCCCTAGTGGTCGCGGTTCTGACGAGCAACTGGTTAGGCCTGGGCTTGACGGCGCGCGGCTATGGCGGGCCCTCGTTTCTTCCTCCTGCAGTGGGTTTCGCTGGCGGCTGGGCTCCGGCGGACGTCAAGAGCTTCTTTGCGGAGGTTCATGGCGGCGGTCTAGCCTTAGTTCTCCCCTCTCCGGCTTTCTCTGGTGTTGGCAAAGTCTGGTCCTCCGGTGGCATGGGCGTGGCTGCGTGCGGGCTCTAGTGTTTGCGTGGGGTAAGATATGAAGTGAACCGGCCTAGGCGGGTCTGCGGATTTCTGAGGGCGGTTGCTGGATCTGTGGTCCGGTTCTTGTTAGCCCATTAGGGCTGTAGTTCGGGTTGTAGTTCTAGTGGCTTCTCCCAGGTTTCGCGTTTGGTTGTTAGTTCGGGTTGTGTTGGTGCTTGGTGTTCTTGTTTGGAGGGGAGGGCGTTCGATCTTGTTGTGTTTTTTTGTAGCGTTTTCCGTTTTGTTTGGGTGTTTTTGTTTTTTGCAGTTAGTTGTGTTTTTGGTTCGATGTTTGATTCTCCTGTTTGGAGTTGTTTGTATTCTCCTGTTGGGAGCTTTGTAGTGTTGTTTTTCTATGTTTAGGTTAGTTCTAGTATGCCTCGGGCTAGTGGCCTATGGCTTTATTCTTTTCAACTAGATTCAGCCAAGTAGCTGATTTATTCAGCTAATTAGACGCTTTGTAGTATGTAATTACATGTTTTTTTTTTATTTAANATGTTGAGTTTCATGGTTCTGAAATTGAACCTTCAAATTGTGATGAGGAATATAATCCTTATCTTGGTGAGGAGAATGGTAATTCAAGTGAAATTATATCCGCGAAGAGAGACCGCGGCGAACCAATATTCAAGAAAGGTCTTTCAACTTCAAGGTTGATATTCCCGATTTTGTAGGAAAAAGTGACCCCCGACAAGTGTTGGGTTCGCTATACTGTACGTATTAAAATCGCAGCGAAAAGTATACAATATAATTATCATTTATCAAATAAATACTTAATCCGTAAGTACATATAGCGAATAAAATGATCGGCATCTTTTAAAATCACGTAAAAATAAAAATTTTGATTTGTAGAGAATTTTGAAAATTACCTTTAATTTTCTTCAAATAGCGACGATGAAGAGGAAATCAATTCCCGGTTATGTGACTATCATCGTCTTCTTACTCTGTAAGGGATCCAAGTGTCTCCCTCTAATCGAGTCCA